TATTTTATTAAAAATGAAACATATATAAATGTGGAGGACTATTTGATAAATAAAAAAGTTCAACTCCATTTTGGAGTAATGAGTTGGTTTACTCCATATTTGGAGTAATCATGTTTGTTACTCCATTTTGGAGTGAGTTTTGGAGTAGGGTTGGAGAAGATTTTACTGCAAAATGGAGTTTGGAGTGGGTTTTAGAGTGGGGTTGGAGATGCTCTAACTAAAGTGGACCAAATACAATTTTTAAAAAATGCTTTTAAATGGGTCGTCTGTGTGTTTTTGGAATAAACTGATATTTATGTGATTTAGAAGAGTATTACTGGTTGATTTTTTTCAGCTGATGTAGACACACTAAAAGGATTTCGTATCCTCCTCTTTTTAAGTATTATTAGACTAGGTGATTTTCCCGTGCTCATGCACGGGTATGAATATTTATAAAAGTAAAATTTTATAATCACTGATTGATATTAATTTTAGTTTTAGTTTTGAAGAAAATTATATGTATAATTTATATTAATAAATATTAAATTATTCTAATTATACATGTGACTTTAGATATATTATTATCAGTTTAATTATTTTTTTTATCAATAGTCGGTTTGGTTATCAATTTGGTATATTGGATAATATATATTTTTCAAATTCAGCTATAATGTTTTAATTCTAAATAGAATAAAACTTTGATTAATTTTCTTATTCTTATTTCGGTTGATTATTGTCTTTAGATATGTAAATATATTATAGTCAAATTATGTATAACTTAATATATATTGTGCTTAAAATGAAATAAATAATAAGCTGAAGTGTTTGATTCAAAATTACATAAATGAATATAATGATAATATTTTAAAGTCACATGCATATAAATTGATTAATATTTTTTTTTAATACACTTTGAGTCAATCTCTAATTTATATGTATAAAATTAAATATATTATTATTATAAAATTATAAGATGTTTAATTTTGGATATAAATTAGATCAGTCGAGTCATCCATTTTGTGAGTATATTGAGTCAAATATATTTTTAAATTAAAATTGAAGTATAATTACTTTTTATTTTAGTCAAGTCATATCAAATTAGTTTTATTTATCGCTTAAATATACATGTATTTTCATAATATTTATTTACTCTTTATTTTAGCTAAGTCATATCAAATTAGTTATATTTATTGCTTAAATATACATGGATTTTCATAATATTTATCAAATTATATGTTGATTTCTAAAATATATTAGAAAATAAAGTGTAACTGATAAATTTTTAGATGTTCATGAACATATATATATTTTTATTATTTTAAAAAATAAATTTATGTTATTTAAAATATATATTAATGGGGGTATTACTATTTTGTGAACTTTCCATTTTAATAAAGTCCTATTATATACATATATTTTTGTTTTAAAATTTTAGAAATATTTCCTTTTTATTATATATGTTATTTGGAAAAAGAAAAAAAAAATAAATGAAAAAAAATAATCTTAAAATCTAATAATTCATTAAGGGTATCTATGTAATCAACTATCGCGAGAATGAACGTGAGCACGCGTAGGAAACTGACTTCTGAAATAATATTATAGAGATTTTCTTTTTAACTTTAGAGATTTTGTTTCTTGAAGTTAAACAGGGTCGGCTTATTTGTACAAGACTCCAAATATAATGGGCCTTTAATAAAACTGAACTCGATTAAAATTTTCATGAAACCAAACCGAACCAAAGGGAAAACGATCTCGAATTTGGTATGATTAAATGTAAAACCATAGCAAACCAATTTAAACCGAACTTTTATAAACAGATGAACCAAACAAATAAATCATTCTTTCCGACATCCTTCAATCACCAGACCAAAGCCCTAAAACCCTAATCCCACCTTCCTCGCCTCGGAAAACTCGATTCAATCCAGAGAGAAGAGAAGATGAGAGTGAAGAGACAGAAGAAGAACAGAAGAACAGTGAGATTCTTCACTGTCTGTTTCGGATTCCGACAGCCCTTCAAAGTCCTTTGCGATGGTACTTTCGTCCACCATCTCGTCTCCCGTGAGATCACTCCCGCCGACACTGTCATCTCCGAGCTACTGGGAGGTCCCGTAAAGCTCTTCACCACTAAGTGTGTGGTTGCGGAGTTGCAGAAACTGGGTAAAGATTTTACGGAGTCTCTTGAGGCTGCTCAGATGCTTAGCACAGCAACGTAAGTCGTCGTTTTCTTTACTTTGATTTTATCTGTCACTTTACAGTGCCTTAGATTTACCAAGAGATGTCTCGAACTGGGTTGTGTTGTGTGTGAACTTGTTGGTCTTGTAAGATTTTGGTGTGGGACATCAAATTATGAAACTTTTGAGAATTTGTATTCGATTCTTAAGGCACCGAACTGAGTCTGGTGTAACCGATATGATCAATGTATATAAAGTGTGGTTTTATTTTGTTGTATAGTGTATATGATGAAATTGATTTGGTATAATTGATATGACGAGCTTCGTAATGTGTAGAAAGTGAAGATTTTCTGATAAGTCGCAGGCATGGATTCTGTATAATGTGTATATGGAATTGATTTGTGTAACCAATCTGATGAGCTTAGTCAGTGTATAAAGTGTGGATTTTTTTTTTTGTATAATGTATATGAAATTTATTTGCCAAGATTTATATAGTGAGCTTAGTAAGGTGTAGAAAGTGAAGATTTTCTGATAAGTTTCAGGCATGGGTTCTGTATAAATTGTATATTAAGTTGATTTGTGTAAAAGTGATATGATGAGATTTATGTATTGAAATTGATTTGCTATGATTCATATGATGATTGATGAACTTTATAATGGGTAGAAAGTGGAGATTTCTTTTGAAGTGTTAGGCCTGATTCTGTATAATGTATATAAAGTTGGTTTGTGTATAACTGATAAGATGAGCCGTATTTATTAAGAGTAATTTTTTTTTTCTGTTAATGTGCCAAAACCTTGATGTTGTATAAACGTATATGAGATTGATTTGCTGTAATTTGAGTTTGTAGATGTGAGCACGAGGAGGCAAAACCAGCAGACGAGTGTTTGTCAGAGGTACTCGGAACCAAAAACTCGGAGCATTTCTTTCTCGGTACTCAGGACGCCGACTTTAGGAAAAAGCTTCAGAAGGTTAGTTTGAGTGTGTATATGCTAATCTCGTAGGATTTATTTTTTTTCTCATTAACCTGATTGGCATTGTTGACTTTCTTTCAGGAATCGATCGTTCCACTACTGTATGGTCTGAATAACAGTCTGCAGATCGACCAACCTTCTGATTTCCAACGTGAGACAGCAAAAGACTCTGAAAGAAAGAGGTTAACTATGACCGATGCGGAGAAGAGGATGTTGGAGAAACAAACTGCGAGAATCTTAGCTTCTAGCAGAGGAGAAGGAACAGCTGAAGACGAACAATGGGAAACGCCTCGAGTGGTCAATTCAAGAAATGGACTCGGTGTTAAGGATAGACCCCAATTCAAGCGCAATAGAGCAGAGGTAATGTACATTCACGCTAGTAACATATAGCAAAGAACATGTTAACCATCATATTTTTCGTTCTAAAACCTTTGGAATTACATTATGTCTCTTTGATGAAGTAACATTATTGTCTCAAAAACTTTGCAGGGTCCAAATCCACTTTCATGCATGAAGAAAAAGAAGGTGACAGATACCAAGAAACCTCATTCGAAACCCAAAGCTGAATCGAAATCTGGTGGACAAGAGGTTAGATATAGAAAATTTTGACAGCTTTTGCTTGATAGGATGGTGTGACTAAATTTCTCCAATGTTTTTTGGGATTTTCAGGGCAAGAAAGGTGGTGAAAGCGGTACAGAAAAGAGGACAAGAAAACGGTCCAGAAAAGGAAAATCTGGTCCGGAGAGAACCTGAGTGAAAACCAGTTGTTTCTTCTATGTATTGCGTCACAGAATATTAACAACATATACCAAACATTCGACCAGAAGTTGGTGATATTTTTGTTTTTTTTTCTTAAGTCGACGCACTTTCTTTTAATTTTACAGTCTTTTCTTTGATCGTTACTTTTTAAAAACTATTTCTCACTTCATCGATGTACTCGAGAAGACCAAGATGCAGCAGATACTTTTAAAGTTTTTTATTTAAATAAAACAATAAATTTGTCCAAGAAAATGGAAGTAATAAGAATCGAAGATAAGTCACTGAGAGGCTTCCATTACAAATAATGATGGCATACATATATGTTTCATCCAAGTTACTTAAGGATATGACTACCATAATCATCGTTGAACTTGTCGTAGAGATGGGCGTGCAGATGAGCCGATGGTCTTGTATTACTCAGAGCTCTATCAATGTCTTCTGGTAAGATAGGTCCCACTTCTGGCAACTCTGCAACCCCAAAAAACAAAACTCAACATGTCAAAGAGTCTGCAGTTATTATTAGATGTAAACAATGCTAATGATGGATCGTTTTTAAGAGAGTTTTTCTTTTTTACCATCTTCAGGCACAAGTTCCACTTTGTCTTCCAACAAAGCTAACGTGCGTCTCAATGGTTGCATAGCAGCTTCCTTACAAAGTATCCTAATGTCTGAACCAGAGTAACCCTCTGATTTCTCAACCAGCACATCATGAGGCAACGGCCCATCTCCCGGTTGTGACGGCAAGAGCATCTCAAACATTCCTCTTCTTGCTTCAGGATCAGGTAAAGGTACTAGAATCTAAACATGTCACTAGCTTAGGTCCAAAACAAACTAAGAATCAAAATAATAAGCATTTTCAAACAATAAAAGAAACCAAATAAGGATACTCGTTTCTCTAGTCTCCGGAGCATAGCTGCATCTAGTTCCCAAGGGAGATTTGTTGCTGCTAAAACAAATACAAGCTCATTTGTTTTCTGTAGCCCATCCATCTGAAATTTTTTAACCCGTTAGATGATGATCTTTGTGAGAAAGATAAGGTTCTTGAGCATATTTTATTACCTGAATGAGCAGTTCAGTTTTGAGACGCCTGCTTGCTTCATGTTCACTACGTCCTTCACCACCACGTTGGCTTATAATTGCGTCTATTTCATCAAGAAAGATTGTGGCAGGTGCATGATGCTTAGCTAGATCAAACAGCACTCTTATCAACTTCTCAGAATCACCTGAAAAAAAAACATCACAACACAATATAAAGAGTGCACCATTTGAGTAAAACAAAGGTGTAAGAAAATAACCACCTCTCCATTTGCTAACAACAGAAGAGGCTGAGATATTGAAAAACGTTGTGTTACACTCTGTAGCAACAGCCTTTGCAAGCATAGTCTGCACAAGACAGAATAGAGATTGTCATGCTTAGGTTTCGACAAGAGGAATAACACATTCTGAGATAGAATCAACACCTTTCCGGTACCAGGTGGACCAAACAGAAGAATACCTTTCCACGGAGATAGTAGACCATTAAAGTAGCTGAAACCATATGTTTGAGATTCAAGAACCAAACATCAACTGAACAGTTATCAATCTTATATGAGCTGAGACAGTAAAGTAAGGGACATACGAGGGGTATTTGATAGGCATCACCACAGCTTCTTTGAGCAACCTTTTCGCGTTCTCTAAACCCTTGATGCTTTCCCACTTGACATTTGGATTCCCACGTATGATATCCCTGAGAACAATGTTCCACACAAGAATATGTAAACACACAAGGACATGATGTGAAGATCAAGAATGTATCCAGTAACCATAATGACTTACCTACTCAAACTCTCTGCGAGCGCACGAGTTTCTGCAGATTCAAAAGGTGGAAACATTGACTTTTTCCTGCAGAAGAAACACTGTTAGTTCCAATGCTAACCATTCCACAGATCTAACATATACACAAAAAGCTCACTACACCACAAGGAAATAAGCATAGGTCTTACGGTTTCTCTCTAATCCCATTGGCCAAGCCAGTGTTACCCTCCTGCAATCATCAGAAATGCCAAAACTTTGAATCTATCTTATGACAAAGAACATAACACCATTACCACTTTACACAAAGGCAAAGAAAATAGTAACCTGAAGTGGACTGGTGACTACTTGGGAAGGTTCTTCCTTGGTGTTGGATGATCCATCTTCTGGTTCTTCAGGCAGCTTCTTCCTCCACTACTTGGCATCATAAAACGTTTTAAATTCTTAATAAATACATATATTTTAGACCTTTGTTCACTAACTAAGCTATTGAAGTAAACCATTTCATCTATAAACTCGATAACTAAGAGTTGAAACGAAGCAGTGTTCTAAAGCTGAGTTCCTCGGTTTCTCCGGAGATTCAAGAACAGTCTTATCTTCTTCATATATTAAAAGAATATATATATATAAAGTCTAAGCGACAGTAAAGAGTTTGGACTTGGATTTACTACAAATATTCAAGAAACATAGTGATCTTGTATGTGTGCAGTTGCCTAGAAGATGGTTTTTCTAGAAGTAAAGATAACGAGTTAGGTGAGGGAGTGAGAAAACAGAGTAAGGGTTTTACCAGAAAGCTCCAGCGAGAGGGAGAGGGCTCGTCGGTAGCCATCGTTTATGCTCAAAGAGGCAAGGATAAGAACAAAATATATGTTTTCTGCGATGGATGGTGATGGTTGTTGAACAAGAGCTATCGCAAAGATTACATCACAAAAGATTACCTCACATAGACAAGTATCAAGCACGTGATGAAGAGTTGGACACTTGTTATTAAAATGTTCCACCAACTAGCAACTAGTAACTACACCTTTTTTTTTCTTTAACTAGGAAGTACACTTAATTTCCAATATTTTATTTTATCTATTTGCCAAAAAAATTTTTTTGTCTAAGTAATTATACTATTACAAATTATGAAAAACACTACATAGACGATATTTTTAAAATAACTAAAAACATATTATTATTTTTTTAAGAATTTGTATCAGAAAACTATAAATACATATTATATTAGGTATATGGAAAACTATTGTTCCGAATCAAATAATACCACTGATGCTTCTAAGTCTATACAAAACCTACATCTGACAAGATATATGATTTTATCACATACACATGCCAAAATAATTACGGATCTACCTGAAAAAAATAATTTTTATACACTGGAAAACTGCAAGAAACTCAAGTTAATTAAGTAAAACCTTCTAAGAGGAAAAGAATAAAACTGAATAGAATTTAAGATCTGATATTTGAGAACATATTTTTTCAAAAAATGGTGGCTTCTAACATCGTCGACTTACCTGACTTATCTGAAACTGGCGATGATTTGGCGATTCCTAACAATCTCTAATTTACCAATCTTTTAGAGCCATAAACTTTTAAATTCTCTTCAGGAAGATGAGGTTCAGACGATTTGAAAATAGGCGTTTGGGAAGCTTGTGGAGGTAGCTAAAAACATGCGTTTTCGGGAAGATTTATAAGGTATTTACTATCTCAACAATTGAAAGTAAATAAGAAGCATGAAGTGTGGTTCCGGTTTGCTGGTAGTCCCATAAGATTTTTGTTGCGAGAGTTTGCGATAGTTACAGGGTTTCAATGTGGTAAGTATTCCAAGAAATTGAAAATGAAGGTAAATCTCAATGAGAAGCCATACTGGCCGACGCTATTTGGAAAACTAGAAGTGGTTAGCGTAAAATCAGCTGTTAAGATGTTGCAGAAGAAGATGGTGGAGGAAAAAAATATTTGGATTAAGATTGCATGTCTGGCGCTCATGTCCTCTATCCTTCTATCAATAAATCTCTTAGTATGAAGATTATGAGAGAGCATGCGCAGGCAATTGAAGATATTGATGAGTTTTTCCGGTTTCCATGGGGATGAATGGCGTTTGATATGCTAATGTCTAGCATTAAGGAGAGGAATGAGATAACATTATCCCATAAGTTCATCGCAGTGAAGAGTTTTGCGTTAGTTATCCAGTTGGTTCTGGTTGAATCAGTTCCATTGTTGACTAAAGTTGTTGTAGAACATTGCTCGTTGTCCGAATATGACAGCGACGATGATGCTGACGAATGTAGACAGAAACTTGGGAAAACACACACACTCAGCCCCGGACATGCTCGCCTTGTTGATTCAAAATCTGAGGTATATATAATTTATATATAGGCTTAAATGTTATGTCGCAAAAGCAGTATAATAGTGAATAATATTCTTCATATTCTGACATTATTAGTTCTTAAATGTAGGTCACAGTGAAAAGTCTTATAGAAGAAGACCCGGCCAGACTAAGCAATGAGAACAGTTTGAAATGGTCTGATGAAGAGGAGGACGAAAAACTTGACAATCTTTTACGACTGATAAAAAAGCACCATGCTTTCACGAAGGATATGTTTAGAGGCAGTGCCACAATGGTTGATGTCGCAAGGATGAGAGAAGTCGCAAAGGCTAATAGAAAATACAAGAGGCTATTGAAACCACTTGCAACAGCTCCTCTCAATGAGCAAACTTTCGTGGTCAATATTGTCATGCAGCATCTGCAGCCTGAAGTCGCTAGGCTAGAGCAAACCATAGCGTCTGTAACATCCGGTATGAAAGAAGTTTTTTGCAAGGTTGGCTGTATAGAAGAGATGGTAAAGAGTATGATTGGACACATGCTTACATCATTTAAGGAAGAGGTTCTCAGTTCGGTTGGTAGAGTTTTCAAAGAAGTAAAGTGGGAAGCTACCCGTAACGATGAAAGACAACTGCAAAACGATACTGGGTTGGGAATTATGCCGCCTGGTGAAGAAGGTGGTGGTGATGTGAATGAAGACACCATTTGCAACGTTCTACATAATCTTACTCAGTACTCCACTCCTCTGCGATCTGGTGGCTAGTGCGAATTGAAACTTTCGTCCCCATGCTTATACAAGAAACAACATTGCAATGATTATATAACTATAGAATTTCTATTCATGCTTCTACAAGGATAATCATTTAAATCGTTATTCTAATAGTTAATTTTAATATAAGCTTATATAAGGATATAAACTTGTAACTCACAATATATCCAGATATAAATGATCAGAACCTTATATAGCTTCTAATATCCATAAGTTAGCAAGGATTTACAAATGTGCCATTATAATACATTTCCACCTTAGTTGTTGTATTCATTATAATACATTACAATGAGCATGTATGATAATACAATATATTATTATGTTACCTAACAAATCCTCCAATATTATTTTGTTTGGAAGCAGGCTTCTGATAACCGAACACAGAACCCAGAACCTGCAAGTGTAAATTACGTTGCAGCAAAAAAAAATTAAGAATGGTGCCAACCCTCCCCTCTACCACATTTGCTTCAAACTCTAATCATGGAGAAATAGTAATATTTACCCTTCACAATTGAATATTATTATTTAAATTTGTGTTTAATTTCTGCAGAATGCACTGAGTGCACATGGTAGTGGAGAACCAGGTGAACTTTCTTTTCCCTTGGGTTGACTCAAGAAAAAATCTTAAGAAAACCTCAATGCATTAATGTTGATGAAGTGGATACATTGCCTAATTATAGTAATGTGGTAGATGATATCCGCAGTAGTACCACCGATGAAAGGAAGGCTAAAGACGCATGATTAGTATTTCGAAGGAAAAGCAAGCGGGCCAGAGTTGCACATGTGGGACTTGATGGGGACTATCAGTTTGGTTCAGACTTACATAAACGATCTCGCGGAGAGCAAAGGGATGTGCATTTGTACGTGGATGCAGCTTGCATTGAGGCAAAATTTGCCATCCTTAAGAATAAGATTCAGGAATCCTTGTGAGCATTTTGATATTATTAACCTGTTATAATATTTAGTTACCAGATTCAGAGAGTACAGTATTAACCACCTTGATATTTCCATGTTTTAAATTAAATGCAGTGTCATCAATTTTATGCGCCTTTCTGTCACGTCTAAGGATATAGCTGATATTGTCGATAGCGTACGTCCACTAAATGCGAAGGTGATAACCCTATATCTGAATGTGAAAAATTGTTTTGCGTTAAAATCTATTTTGAATACGATTTTATCCTTTTGCCAGGTTGTTGACATACTGGTACGTCTTATTCGGTCCAATATGAAAAAAATGTAGGCCTACTTTCTCGGACTCATGCTACGTTCTTGGAAACCGATTTATTACAACGTTGGCAAGAGCTTACCCCAAGTTCAAAATGTGTAAAAATAGAGACACCTTTTATTTCTCAAAAGGGTTAGGTGCCTAATTTGGTAGTCCAGTACGAAACAACAAACATGGCAGTTCTTCGATGTCCCTTTCAATAGCGGGAAAAAACATTGGGTGGGCCTGTGCGTAAACTGCAGTGAAAGGAAGATTGTTATGCTCGATTGCAATCCAACACTATGTTCTAACCAGGCGTTGGATACTGGCCTTTATTATGTATATGTCATGGTTTCCTATTTACTGAAACAAGTTGGAAGACCGACATGTAATGATGTGCTTACCCCTTCTCCATCAAACGATCATTAGGCTTATAAATAAATTCTGCACTTCCAGATTCTGCTTTAGCTGCTATGTTGCTCATGTAGTCACATGCAGTCAGGGGGATAAAAGCATCCATATCACCAGAAAATATAGCAAGTGAAGCGAAAAGAGCTGTTGTGATGGTGTATGAATACCAAGAGAAGTTCTAGGAGAACTACAACATATCATGCCATATATATCAAATGTATGTTTGTATCCACCAGGAATGAGACTTGTTTCGATTATGTCTGTATTAGACTGTCTGCTTTATTTAGATCTCATGTAATTTTATTAAAAAAAATGGATACATCTGTCCTTTACGGTAACACTTACATATAGTTGTTTAAGTTATATAAACTGGTTATCATTTAAAATTTTAAAAATATATATAGTGTATACAATAGCTCCTAGTGACTTCCATACGTAAACGCAATAATATAATATGCACTGTGATGTTAATTTTTCAATTTACTGTCTTTTGTATTTATGGACCCTAGTTCGGTCCATCAAAGTTACGACTTTACCCATCTGTAAAGATAAGATCGAAATAACTTGACATGTAATTCAATTCTTGTCAGACAAGAGGGAAATATTATGAGTCACAAGCTATACAATATAGACATTTATATGCGGTGTAAGTAGGTTGGATAGTTGTTGGCATGTATCATCGCTTATGCTATATATACCCTTGGGTCAACGTTTATGCTATATATATTTACACTTTTATTACTCTCCACTTGCTTGTATAGTTTTTTTTTGTGATGTGAGTTGAGTCTCTGGATTGAAGAAGCTGGAGTAACCATTGCAATCAGTGTAATGTGTACGCAAGTTTGATTATTCGATGCATTAAAAAAAATGTGATGATCTGTGATACTGATAATAATGGGTATTGCTGCTCGTTCAGTGAAGTCAAGTTGAGTATACACAAAATAACCAAAACTTATTGAAACTGTACATTGTTGTCGGACAGATGAAGGCTGGAATATTGTTGCATATGTCTAGCAGGAACATGATGACAAGAAGAAATAGAACTATCATTTCCATATAAATATTTTTTATTGGTCAGGTATATGTATTATTAACAATGACATTGCAAACCTCATGTACTGT